GACTAAGCTTTTAATGTTGGTAATTACTTTGACTGTGTCCATAAGCTTTAATACTTGTTTTTAAATTTTTTTTATTTTTTATTTTTTAATTTTAAAGATAAAAGAATGAAAACATCTTAATGAGCACACATACATTTAGAAAATAACATAAAAACAACACAAGCAATACAGAATCTCAGACAAGGTGATAAGAAATGGACAATGGTTGTTGTATTACATATTGATATCTTCAAATTGGACACTCAGATAAACAAATATAGACATGTAAGACTGATCATACACTTAAACATTAACTGTTCTTTTCAACAGAGCAATAAAAGTCAGTAATACCACTATGTTAGCTATCCTGTGTATACATATATACATATTTTCCACTTCTTTTTTTTTGTTTGTTTTTTAATTTTTGTATTCTTTTAATTCATTTAAAATCATATTTGAATTTTTCTTTGGTCAAATTACTACTTGGGAGAGTATTTTAATCTGTATAAAAGTAGAAATTTTTGTTTATTTGTATTTATCCAGATTTGGAACAGATTGCAGGAGACTAGTTGGGAAGCTATTGGAACAATCCAGGTGAAAGCTCTTTGTGATCTGAACCAAAACAGTAGCACCAGCACCAGAGTAGAAGCAAGGGCTGACTTCTGGATATATTTTGTAGACAGACTGAGAAGGATGTGCTGATGTATTGAATGTGAGAGGAGGAGAAAGTAAAGTATGACTCCAAAGTTTTGCTCCTACAGTATGGGAAAGAGAGATTTGGCATATAGTAAAGTTATCCTTGAAGCTAAGTGAAGAAGGTGTTTCAAGAAGTAAAGTGGGACAGGAAGGGGGATGCCCAAGTTGAACATAATTGTATTTGTCCATGTTTCTTTCTCAGAAACATCCTCAGACCCCTGAAACAAGGAGTTTTTCCTGACTAGAAATCAGCATGTATTCACGAATATGGTATAAGGCTAGCACAATGAAAGTGTTTGGAACAAATGTTGTTGCTCACAGGAGTTGTAGAACTTGCTAGTGCCTAAAGTTCTGCCTTGTTCAATTACCTGACATTAAGAGATTTAATCTGTCTTATGATTTTCCATTTGAATTTCCCAAACTTTGCAAAGATGGATTCACAGCTCTGGGGCCTTATTTTCTTTCACTAAGAAAATACCCTATTGGTATGGTTTGTGTCTGGATGTCCCCTCAAAGCCTCAGGCAGTCATGGAGCAGGCTTTTAGAGTTTATGATTGATCCATGAATCAATGCTGAGATTATGGGTGTGAATACTACATTACCCTGGGGGGGATAGTTTGCATATGTAAGGGAAAGAAAGAGACTGCTTGCCTCTGTCCCCTCCCTTTTGCTCTGGTTGCTTTGCTATCTTCTGCCACCATGAACTGTTGCCTTTTGCCATGTGCCACCCTGCTTTGGAGGCAGCGAAGTACGGACTGAAACCTCCACAAACTGAGCTAAATAAACCTTTCCTTCCTTAATTTTGGGTGTCAGGTATTTTGTCTTAGCAACAAGAGAAAAGTAACTAAGACAGAATTTGTTACCAGGAGTGGTGTCATTGCTGTGACTACACCTGACCATGTGGTTCAACAGCCTTTGGACATGGCTTGTGGAAAGCGCTTGGAAAGGTTCTGAGATGTCACCAGAAAGAGTAGCTCTGTATGGGAGATTCTGGTCAGAGCTCAAAAGACCAGAAGGCTCGTAGAAATCCTGCTGATAAAGACCAGGTTCGGGAGGTTTCTGCTGGGAAGAAGGACTGCATTGGTTGCTGGACTCCAGATCATTTGTGCTATGGCTTGGCAGAAAGTTTGTCTGCATTTTGCTTGAGTCCAGAGACTTTGCCTGTGACTGAGATTAAGGGTGGTGGACTGATTCATCTGGCAGAAGAAATTCCAAGACAGTCAAATGTTGAGGCAGTGGCATGGCTATTGTTCGGGGCTTTTAGCCAGATTCATGTTGAGAATCAAGAGCAAAGTGCTCAGCATGATGACTTAAAACATTGTGAGTTTGGCCAGAAAGAAAAAAGTTCCAGTAAAGCTGTGGACTGCAAAGATAGAGTTGATGAGATCTTGATTGCTAAGGAGAAACAAGAGAATAGAAAAGATGGCCTGAGGGCATCACAAGAAGCAGCAAGTCCCCACCCTTTGCAGCCTCAAAACTACAAAGGTGAAAGACTTTGCTTTGAGAAGAAAGCCACAGAGTGCCATGTTCCAGAATGGTGGTGGCAGTAGCCACACCAGGTTCCACAGCTGTGGTGCCATAGAGAATTTGCTCCTCAGAGCTGGATTCAGAGTGCCCACTGATCCAGGCACTTGAACCCTATGGCCATGAGAGGGGAAAGCTTGGCTACTGCTCCAGGTGGCAGCAGACCTTGGCATCATCCACATGGCCCTGGTTTTATGTGCATGGAAAGTGTAAGAGTTCTGAGGTTATGAAGGCTTCCACCTAGATTTCAGAAGGCCTGGGTGGCCAGGAGGTGTGGCCCTGAGAGGGCAATATGTGAAGCTGTGAGTGAGAAGCCTAAAGTGCAGTAGAGACCTCAGAAGTTTGGAAAAGCCAGGAAAGTGGATTGTCTAAGGAAAACTGCAAGGAAGGAGCAAAGTGGGGCCAAGAGAGAAGCCCTAGGAGCTACAACCACCAGAAGTGCCGTAGGGGTGGAATCATACAAGCCCTTTGTGTAATGGGTTACCCTGAATAAAGAACAGAGACCAGAATCCAAATTGGAATTTTAAGAGCCTTTATTAGCCAGCCAGCAGCTGTCAGTCTGTTCTCCATGCAGGGAGAGGCTGAGCAGTCCTGAACCGAAGAAAGTTTGAGCTTTTAAGCCTGAAAACCACATCCTGGTTGGCGCAGGTGAAAAGATTTTTTTGCAAGGGCAAAAAAGCGGAACCTATCGGTTCCAGCAAGCAGGTGTTGCAAAGTTCAGAACGTTCTTAGATGCATACATTGTTTTCAAACTAAACTAACAATCAAGCATAGTTTTTCTTTCTTGGGTCAAACTGACATTTTTCCTCCACCCAGTAGCCCAGCAATTTTTATTTGTTTTATGTGTTCACCACACGTTGGAGCTCACAATGTGCCACAGATTACTTCAGATGCTGGACATGGAACTACAGGACATAATGTTAGCCTTGCTGGACTTGACTTGCTTTGCTCCTTATGCTCTGTATTCTTCTGTTTGTACCTTTTGGAATAGTAGTGTTTATTTTGTGCCATGGAATGTTGGAAGTGTTTAACTTCATTTGCACAGGGGCTTACAGCTAAGAGTTTGCCTTACATCTCAGAGGAGACTTGGGACTTGGACTTTTCAGCAATGCTGAAACTGCTAGGACTTTGGCAACTCTTAAAGATGGACTAAAATGTCTTTTGCATGAAGGGATGTACATGAGTCTTTGGGGGACAGTGGTGAAATGTTATGGATTGTGTCTGAATGTCTCCCCAAAGCCTCATGCAGTCATGGGGCAGGCTTTTAGAGTTTATGATTGATCCATGATTCAATGCTGAGATTATGGGTGTGAGTGCTACGTTGCCCTGGGGCAGACAGTTTGCATATGTAAGGGAAAGAAAGAGGATGCTTGCCTCTGTCCCCTCCCTTTCGCTCTGGTTGCTTTTGCTATCTTCTGCCACCATGAACTGTTGCCCTCTGCCATGTGCCACTCTGCCTTGGAGGCAGCGAAGTACAGACTGAAACCTCCACAAACTGTAAGCTAAAAAACCTTTCCTTCCTTAATTTTGGGTGTTAGGCATTTTGTCTCAGCAGTGAGAGAAAAGTAATGAAGACACCTATAGTTCTGAATTAACTGACCTTTAATTATGCAGTAGTATTGTTGATAGAATGATTGAATTGTTAATGGAAAACTCAATTTATTAATGAACCTACTAGTTTTACACCATGGTCCTTTTTATATGGATCAAGGCCAGTATTTGTCAAGACTGCAGGTGGATTCTTATGGGTCAGCTAATATGTTACTTCAGTTAGGTCTGTCCTTGCAAGTAATACAGTGTGACCACCAATAAATAGAAATGTATTCTAATGTTAAACCCCATGTTGTGGATGTATCAGTACTCAGGGGCTAACTTATGGGAAGATGTGCTTACTTATAGTCATTGGATCTTTTGTCCTAGTACAAGGGACAGGGGCATTTTGTTGTTTATAATGATCTTTCATATTTGACCTCTTACGGACTGACTGATAAATAAAGTATAGTGATTTATATTATAAAATGAAGTAAAATGAAATATATATGTATTTATAAGTAAAATATGTATCAGAATTTTAAAATTTTTTAAAGAATATGTATTTCTAAAGCAACTTGTAGAAAACTGTAGCCCATACATATCCACAAACCACAAAACAGTATTGCATATTGTTTAAAATCATAAACATTATACATGCATATAACTAGAAAGTTATAAAACATGGATGGGAAGCTAACCATCAACTTTAGTCTTTTTGTTGTTGTTGTTTGTTTGTTTTTTGGTTTTTTTTTCTGGTACTGGGAATTGAACTCACGACCTTGTGCTTGCCAGGCAGGTGCTGTGCCACTGAGCTAAATCCCCAGCCCCTAACCACCAACTTTAGGAGCATTATTGTCTCTGACTTGTGAGTGTTAGAAAAACCCAATCTAATATGAACATATATTGTGTTTCAGCATTGAGTATGTTTTATAATTAAAATTAAAAATTTTAAATCATATTTAAAATGTTAGTAGAAATATCTATGTACAGGAAGGAATAGTCTCAAGTGGAAAATGTAGGATCTTTGTTCCCTGGACATGATATAAAATTGGGTTAAGTCATAGTGTTTCTAATCCATAGTCTTTCTAATTGGCTTGTGGCATAGTTTATCATATCTATGAACAAATAAAGGCTTACCCTCATTTAAGTGATTAACCTACTGAAATCCTCCTTAAGCTTACCATTATACAACTTCAGGCATTAATATCATCTAGATAACAGAATCACATTTTGAGAGTGATTTGAGAAGATTTCTATCTTTCCTACAGGAGGCCTGCTTATCTGTGCAACAATCTATTCAAGGGCCGTTGGGCACCTATGCTGTGAATGTGACATCTGCCGCCAAGCTCTGCAGTCAAAGCCTGTGTAGCAACCATGGAAGATGTGTTCGAAAAATACCTGAATCCTCCTTTTATTTGCATATGCCTGAAAACAGCAGTAAGAAATATATCTCAAACAAGAGCTTCAGGTTTGTCATTTCTGAAAAGAATAAACTGAAGACAATAATGGACATGAAGGATGGGTTTATGTGTCACTGCTATTATGGCTGGCATGGGGAGTCTTGCCATTACTCTTCAGATCTCTTGAGTTGGAAGAACAAGGCTCCTATTGCTGGCTTTAATTTACCAGTTTTTCTTGCTGTAACTGTATGTGTGATTCTGCTGAATATATTTTTACTCCCTACGACAGTGTCAATTTTCCCCTGAAATACTGAAGAGTAAAAAAAAAATGTGGATTTTAACTTCAAGCCTCTGCTAAAATATTTATTGGCTTTAAAGTAAAAAATTAAAAGAAAAAAGAATAAAGAATTGTTGACTCCACTCACTGGTACAGCAATTCCTTGTTGGATGTTTACTTCATGTTGGGCAACAGGGATGCAAATGTGAATAGATCTGTCCTTGGGGAGCTTAAATTCTTGTCAGAAAATGAACAATAACAAATTATCAGATACCTGTACATCTGGTGGCAATAAGTGTTGTGGAGAATAGCATAGTAGAATGAAGGAATTAGGGTGCATGAGAAAGCACTGGAAACTTTGTACAGTCAAATGTGCCTCTCTAATGAGGTGGCTGGCAGCCAGGAGACCACAGCAAGAAAATTATCAGAAATGTGTTCTTTAAAAAAAGAATAGGAAGTCAAAGCAAACTAACTCTTCTACTCCAGAGGTGACTCCAGGATACCAAATTATAGGGACAGTGGTCTCCAGGAATGAGTGCTCTAGGTCTTAACTTTATCTAAAATATCTTAGACATTCATTTGGCAATCATCAATATCAGAAGAGAAGTGCTGTTAAAATCCCACATAATGGAATTTATATGGGAAATTTCTTTATTTGATAATTGTTGTTTAGTTAAATTATACTCTATCCAAGCAATTCATTAGTTCTCAGTAGATGGCAATTTATTTGAAAAATTCATGTAGCCATTTGACTTGTTTGAATTATGACCCTGATCATCATTAACAAACACTCAAAGGAGATTATAATACCATTTCTTGTTTTAAATTAGGAAAGATATTTTCCTTTCCAAATACTGCATTTTTATATGTGTTCCATCTTAGCATAGAGGTTTAATAGGCAGATCACATTTGGATTTCTACTTTGATTCATTAACTCATTCATTCATTCTTCTTCCATTTATTTGAGAGAGAAGTAAAAATTAAAGAGGTGATAAATATATAAGCTAAATTGAGGACTACTTGATAAATTTCCCCATTTTGTTAGTATACTGTTTACCAAGGTTGTTATTACAGGAATTATATTACTATGATTAAGCACAAAATGTTTTTATAGCTATTATACTTGGTGCTAAGCCATTATAAGTAAATTATTGGATCAGCATTTTGATATTGAATATATTCCAATGAAGTAGTAAAAGGCAAATATTATTGAATATCATCACCATTTTGAAGAAATGGACTGAATGAACAAGGTGTTTCTAATTTTGCCCAAACAACAATTAATATATCAAATATAGAACACGCACCATTTCATTGTTTAAAGTTACAAAATAATCACTCCAGAAGGACTGGTGTAGGTGAAATAAATTCTGTGTAATAGACATACAGAAGAAAATAGGAAATATCCCAATAACTTTTCATAAATAAGAAAATAGTCACTCTCTGCCTCCCCCCACCCCCTGAGCTGAGCTGAACCTTGGACAGCTTCAGGAACACCAGTGAGCTGCCCCTGCCCCACTAGCTTGGGAGCCAGGCCGAGCCCCATACAACCTCAGCAGCCTTGGGTGCCACTCCCTGCCCCTACCCTGCACCCTCAGGGAAGCCAAGCTGAACCTCAGACAGCTTCAGCGGTCTCAGTGACTGCATGCTCATCCCTCCTCCAATGGCATGGGAACTGGGCTGGGTCCCAGGCAGTATCTGAAGCCTCTGTGACCACAGCCTACCCACTACTACACCCTTGTGGAAACAGGGCTGAAACCTGGACAGCTTTGGGAACCACTAAGTGAGAGCCAAGCTGAGCCCTGGACAGCTGTGGGAGCATTGGAGATCCCAACCTACTAGCACACACCATCCAGGGAGCCACACTGAGCACTGGGGACTTGTGGGTTCTTGTCCTGCCACTCCAACATTATCCTGGGAATGAGGCTGAGTTCCAGGGAACATCTGTATCTCTGAAAATGACAAAATGAAGGGATCACATGCAATCACAGACTTCTACCCCACCCAGAACAAGACCAGTTGATACTGACACAGAAGAACTTGGAAGTCATACACCTCAAATTTCTGAAATGATAACAGCTAAAGTAAAGAAAGAATTCCACCAGGCCATAGAAGACATCAGATCAGAAATAATCTCTGAGGTAAAAAAATAAATGACAACAATAATGAAAGAATTGCTTCACACATCTAAAGAAGACATAGAAAAGAAAAAAGAGGAGCATAGAAAATTAATGGAAACCTTGAATGAACAATATAGGAAAAAACTAGAATGCATGAAATAGATTCAAAGAGATATCCAGGAAATTAAAACTGTCATCGAAAGTGGGCAAAACTGCTTGAACAAAACTGAAGATAGACTATCAGACCTTGAAGACAGCATTGCCGCTAATGACCATGGAAGGAAATCTCTCTTAAAAATAAGAGGACACCAAGAAATAACAATTTAACAGCTGCAAGACAAAACAAAGAAAAACAATGTAAGATTAAGTAGGTATAAACGAAACAGCAGGTGTCAGCACAAATGACATAAAAAGATTTCACAGAAGTAATAGCAGAAAATTTCCCAAGTATGGAAAAAGAATCACACATACAGGTAAGAGAGCCATACAGAACTCCAACTAGCCATAATTAAAAATAAATCTATACCTAGATACATAGTGATCAAGATTCCAGAAATTCAACAAAAGAACTTCGGTTAAAAGCCATTAGAGAAAAGAAACAGATCACCTATAAAGGAAAGCCCATCAGAATCATGGCAGATTTCTCACCACAAACCATCCAAGAAGAGCGTGGAATGAAGTATTTCAGGTCCTGAGAGAAAACAGCTTCCAATCCATATTGATGTACTCTGCAAAACTATCCTTCAAAATGAAAGGAGAAATAAAATATTTCCACGATAAAGATCAACTGAAGAACTTTGTAAGGGCCAAACCAACCCTACAAAGAGTACTAAAAGATATTCTAGAAAGAGATAAAAAGATCACAACTTCACGAACAACAACAGAAAGGAACCACCAAGCACAGCAAGCAATTAAACAGAGGGATAAAAGAGGAACCAACAGCATGAAAAGAACATGACAAAGATAAGCCAATATGTATCTGTAATAACAATCAATGTAAATGGTCTCAATTTACCAAACAAAAGAAGGAAACTGGTAAAGTGGATCAAGAAACAAAATCCAACAATATGCTGTATACAAGAAACATGTTTAACCTAAAAGGAAATTCATAGATGGAAAATCAAAGGATGGAAAACAATAATCCATGTGACAGGAACCCAGAAAAAGGCCTGTGTATCTATTCTGTTTGCAGACAATGGGAACTTCAAACCAAGAACAATTAAAAGAGATAAAGAAGGTCACTACATACTTGTGAGGGGAAAATTTCAAGAGGAAGAGGTAACAATCTAAACATCTATGCGCCAAATACAAGAGAACTCAACTATATAAGACAAATTTTAACAGACATAAAAATGAAATAAGCAGCAGCACAATCATAACGAGGGACTTTAACTCACCATTGTCACAAAGAGATAGATCAACTAGAGGAAAAATATCAGCAAATAAATAACAGAACTAAACCAAATCTGTGAACAAATGGACTTAGTAGACCTTTATAGAGTGTTTTACCCAACTGATTCAGAGTACACATCCTTCTCAGCTGCACATGGGACATTCTCTAAAATAGACCATATACCAGCACATAGAACATGTTTAAGGAAATACAAAGGATTTGAAATTATCTCATGCATACTATCAGACCATAGTGCAATGAAAGTAGAAATTTAATGACAAAGGAAATCACAAGAACTCCATAAACACATAGAAATTAAATAACACCCTCCTTGGGGCTGGGGATTTAGCT